TAGGAAGGCTCAGAAATAATTAACTGGATAAGATCTCTCTGATAATTCCTGATAGCAGAATAACAAAACTTGCCACTGATTAAAATGCAGTATATATGTGTATGCACACTATTAAAAACCATACCAAACTTGCCATGATGATCCAGGTTGTCTACCAGTGTCAAAGATCATACTGTTTGAAATTAAACACAGAATCATGATAAGGATATAGCAACACGCTGAATAGCATGGCAACTATGTGAAAGTTAAGTTATCAATATATATAATGAGTTCACGACATTTGTGTACAGTGTAATGATATTAACCATACAGTGTAGGAATTCTATATATACTAGTTAGTCCTTTATCTTAGATTATGTAATGATGTAAAATGAGACTAGTTATGTACAGAGGTATCCGTCATGATGAGATATTATTGGAGTAATTAATATTCATATATAACCTTATTTCTAAGTCAAGTACATCACGTCACGTATTGTGTCTGACTTTTTCTTCTTCATTGTGTAACACTTAAACAATGGTGATATAGAAGTACTTTTACTTGTACATTCTGGCAGTATTTTCCTTCACAAGTTACTGTGTCTCCCCTGTAGTAATGATTAATTACACACATACAGTAGGAACTCCCTCCCCAACACACTAGTATATACATGCACTAAGTTATGAAGTCTCATTTAAATGAGGCACATTTTCATGTAAAATAAAGTTTGAAATAAAGATAGTAAAAGATATATGTCAAGTAAAATATGTCAACTTGGTAACATCTGTTTGTAGAGGAAACTGATTTCGTAGCTCTACATCCTGGCATGCTACAGGCCTAATAAAAGCACCCTGGGCATTTTGGTTATTAAGAATTAGTCGTTTAAATGTTTTAACATATTTGATTTCTATGACCTAGAAAGTAAGTCAAGGTCATTCATTTTAACAAACTTGGTAGCCCCTCGTTCCAGCATGCAACAGCTCAATATCAGCATCCTTGGCCTTTAGGTTATTGAGAAGAATTTGTTTAAAGACTTTGACATATTTGACACCTATGACCTTGAAAGCATTACAAGGTCATTTATAGTGACAAACTTGGTAGACCTACATTCTAGAATGCTAACAGCCTAATAATGGCACCCTGCGCCTTTTGTTTATTATGAAGACATCATTGAAATATTTTAACTTATTTGACCACTGTGACCTTGAAAGTGAGTAAAGGTCATTCATATAATAAACAGCACCCTGGGCTTTTTGGTTATTGTGAAGACATCATTTAAATATTTAAACTTATTTATTCCCTGTGACCTTGAAAGTGAGTCAAGGTCATTCATATCATAAACTTGGTAACCATTCATCCTATCATGCTCCATGCTGAATATCAGCAACCTAGGACTTCTGGTAATTGAGAAGAAGTAATTTAAATGGAAAGTTTACCCACAGTGCATGATGCACGACGCAGTGTGCATGACGACGGACGAAACATGATGGATATTGGTCATCCTAACCCTTCGGGTCTGATGACCTAATAAACAAATTATGCTAAAAGATTTATTTTCTTTCTAAAACGTTAGTAAATTTAACCCCCTCTCCTAAAGGAAATTGCAAGATCCTGGGATCATGAAACTTACCATTTTGGTAAAGCACTGTAAAACACTTCCATACATGAAGAATATTTTGGTTTCAACATATCTGTGTTTGGAGAAGAAGATTTTAAAATTTGACCCATTTTTGGCCGCACCCAACAGCCTCTGGGAGTCAGCCGAGATCAATATGAGCATCTCATCAATCTTTCATCTTATACTAGTAGTTCTAATAAAGTTTAAACTATTTCCAAGAGAAAATAAACAAATTGTGTTCATAAATGTATTTATTCTATATGACCTGTAGTAAACTCTATTCCATCCCCAGGAAGAAAAGTGAGACACTGGGGTCATGAATTTTACAATTTTGGTAAAATATCTGCAAGTCATTCAATCCATGAAGAAGATTTGATTCTCCCATACATGGGATTTGAGAAGATTTTTAAAGTTTCAATCAATTTGACCTTTTAGACCCCACCCCTCAGGCCCCTGGGGGAGAACCTTTAGTCATGGAAGGTTTTTGTAAAATTTAATTCAAAATCAGTACAGGATTTTTCAAGAAGTCAAAAATGTTAAAAGTTTACGACTCACAATCCACTGCGTGGGACAAAAGGGGATTGCAATAGGTCACCCTGGTACTTAGTCTTAGGTGTCTTAAAAATGTAGAATATATATAGGGGAAAATAACCAAAGTCATAGATTAGAGCAAGGAATATGGATGTTATCTACTTACAAATATTTTATTACAGGAAGCCCATTGGCCTTAAGAGTCATCTGACTATAAATCTTATCGATGATATAATTGTAGTTGAGGAAGTGGGAACATTTATCAAGTGATTCAAACGTATCCTTATTAAACAGTTAAGGTAACAAAAACAACAACACTCGATTTCAATTTCTCAGCATTCTCAACAAGCTTCATGCAGTAGCTATGGAGTGCTTGAAGACCTGTCTGTATCCATTGTGTGATGACAAAGACTAGAATTATTTTGACCGGACTAAAAAAGCAACGACAAATTTAAAAGCACAGAGGCATCCCCCGATAGTTTCTACAACATTGTATCTTAAAACCAGGAGCTTAGACCCTTGTAGTTAATTTTAATAATGTACAAATTTCTCTAGAGGATTACCAGAGATATTTTCAAATTGAGGCCCTCTGTCATTTTCAATCAGATCACCTCCATGACCTCATTGTGGTCTACACTGATTTCTCTATACACTCTCTGTCCTCTTGCTACAGATTAAGCTGAGAACAATAATGCTTATAGAACAAGGCATGTGATTACGAGACAAATTATCTTATCAATTATATTCATTTGATAATAACTGAATTACTGTGATATGATTGGCAACATATATTTATCCCATATAATGTCAGATTGAGAGGACTATTAAACGCAAGTGTTATCACTAATTATGTTACATTTAACATTATCACTTACAGATTCTCTACAACATACATACTAGTCCACCATTTTACTGCCACCTTCTGTCCCATGCCAATTTGGATTTTCAAGGACAGTAATACAAGTGGGTTCCATTCCAAAAATCGAAAGATACAACTTATGTGCAGTAAAACAATGAATGTAACGAAACAGAAACTAAACACTATGAACATAGACACGGTATCAATTCTTGCTTTAATTCAGTGTTATTCAATAAATTTTAAATATTATCAATTACATCAATAAAATTAACAGAATTTATACGGTAGTAAGTTTATTGTTTACTTTCCAGGATGCAGTACGTCAACACAGAAACATTTACGATGTAACATAAATCATGTTCTTGTCGAGCTTTGATCAGAAACATGCATGTCTATTGAATCCTTATTTGACTGGTCTGTGAGAACTAGTCTGTCGTTCAGTGTATTCAAACATTGAATGTTGTGTTAATACTGAAGGAGCAGGACGTAAACAGACCCATCCAACCTATCAATCTCATCAAAATAATAACATAAATCTAATTTGAATGCTTTTTAAATAACATGATCTTCCTGTAATCCTTAATCAATATCCAGACCTAAATTAGTACAATACAGGTGGAAATATTTGGAAAGTGGTATATATGTAGAGTACATACTAATATATATAAATGTTATTAAAGTATGCTTAAGCACAAATGCTGAAAGTATCTCAACTGTTAATTTGCTACTACCGGTATATGTATAGTCAAGATAACTTACCATATTTCCTTTATCCTATGTATGACCCATACAAACACAGTCAGGTCAATTTTTAGCCCTAAAGCTTTGGACTGGGTTAAAAAATGTGCTAAAGCAATGGATACATAACATAAAATGATTTATAGTTAAGCCAAATTAATCACTTCGGAACCAAGCTTTTCTTTCCTGACAAATTCCATAATATGATGATCCTGTGATATTCAGGCCAATACAGTTATAAAAAGCTATGAAACTCATGCATTTTGTTACCAAAAGCTGTCCCCAAAAACTTTATAGCAAAAACCCTTTAATGTGCCATACCCAAAACACCTTTTGAAAAGCTTGCCTTCTTCTTTTTCTTTGAGTGGGGTTGCTCAATTAGCTCAACTAAATGAGGTAACTTTAATAGATAGTTTGCTCACTTGTTCTGCTATTTTTTTGCAGGGTTTAATTTATCATTACATGGTAAATTGCCAGGGCCATTTTAGGCAGGATCTCCTTGTAGTAGCTGGTGGTTACCTCATTGAATAACAGAAGACCTGCTGTATGACATTTAATTTCCAAAGCAATTGGGGAACTGAAGTATCTTGCCCTATGACACAATGACAACAGCATTGGAAAGTCCTATTTATCTGGTCCAGCTTCCAGAAACAATAATTTATTTTCAGAAAGAATCAACAAATCTTTACACACTTCAGATCTTCACTTGTTTTGAAGTTTAAGTCCAATGCTCTATGGGCTGAGCTACCTAGTCTACCTCACACACACACTAAAACTAATATACTCCAATTTAGTGTAGTCAGACACTGGAAATAAAAAGATATAACTTACTTATACAACACTGAATATACATATGATTCCATCGTCAAGTGTTATACATTAGGTTTATCAAGTTTAAATCATTTACTACATTATCAAAACAGTATGTGATAGTACCAGTTGATGGGTGGGGCACAGTTTTATCAAATTAAACAATATTGCATAGCCTTTGAACTAAGTACGTGTTTCACATGTCTATTGATAGCGAATGCGTTTATAACGCCGTAACTGAAAATGTTTTAGTAAACTGTCAATCGTAATAACAAGACTGACGAGAGCAAATATTTCAGTAATTAAGGGCTCCGCAATGGTAACGTTGTTTACATCACACGGCCATATCTGAAGCCAGAAAACTTCATAAAGCCAGTGTTAATTCCCTTTGAAGCGAATCAGATGCAAACAAATAAAACTTCGCTGTCAATTTTGCATGCAATAATGTATTTAAACAAACTGACTTGACTTACAGCTCGGAATATTTTCCATGGACCAGTCAGGCGATACTTCTTTTCTGGTGGAGACTTAACCATCCAACCCGAATACACAACGTTCGATATCTTGTTCATGGCTGTGGGTTTGAAATAGGTCGATTAATTTAACTGCGTCTTCTGGTTACAAAAAACGTATTTCCACAACATATTGTTGTTAGATTGCGAGAATGCAACATTCAGGAAGCTTAATCCCGATCAATTCGACCATAGAGCGATGATTTCTGGGGGCCATTTCCGGAAATCTGACGTTCTTGTAGCTTCTTAGTATCCAGGTTTCTGATTGGAAGATACTACTTTCGTTGACGAATGAAAATCCCCGTATCATCAAGAAAATCTGTGTTTATTTTGTCTTGTCGAGAAAAAAGTAGTGACAAAGGGAAAGGAGAAATTTAGGTAAATATGGCTTTCATCTTTTTCGACAGTCTATTTAGGCTATGTGTGAAAACTGTTTCAAAATCCATGGAAGGAGTTGCGAGGTATATGTACATTATTGAAGTTACTTATATTAGACTATCTTCTCTGATCCTGAATGTCTCTTCTTCTAACGCCCGATTAAGATGCGGTGTCTCTTGTAGTCCTCATGTAGATATTTATAATGACTGTTTATACTACTCATTTACTTCATCTGAAATATATGATGTGATTTTTTTCTACTAATGAGTGAAATGTCACTCAATTCATACTGCCGCACAGGCCAGCTTCCACACAATCAGCTGACTACCCCCTCCAATAGCAAACCCACGTGTATCCTCGTGTATCATTCTTCATTATAACCTCTCTATTACAGTCCCCCTGTGATATACTGTATCACCTCTCTACTACAGTACCCCTGTGTTATACTGTATCACCTCTCTACTACAGTCCCCCTGTGTTATACTGTATCACCTCTCTACTACAGTACCCTGTGGTATACTACATCACCTCTCTACTACAGTCCCCCTGTGTTATACTGTATCACCTCTCTACTATAGTCCTCCTGTGTTATACTGTATCACCTCTCTACTACAGTCCCCCTGTGTTATACTGTATCACCTCTCTACTACAGTCCCCTGTGTTATACTGTATCACCTCTCTACTACAGTCCCATGTCTTATACTACATCACCTCTCTACTACAGTCCCCTTGTGTTATACTGTATCACCTCTCTACTACAGCCCCCTCTCACCTCTCTACTACAGTCCCTCTGTGTTATACTACATCACCTCTCTACTACAGTCCCGTGTTATACTGTATCACCTCTCTACTACAGTCCCCCTGTGTTATACTGTATCACCTCTCTACTACAGTCCCCTGTGTTATACTGTATCACCTCTCTACTACAGTCCCATGTCTTATACTACATCACCTCTCTACTACAGTCCCCCTGTGTTATACTGTATCACCTCTCTTCTACAGCCCCCTATGTTATACTTTATCACCTCTCTACTACAGTCCCTCTGTGTTATACTACATCACCTCTCTACTACAGTCCTGTGTTATACTGTATCACCTCTCTACTACAGTCCCCCTGTGTTATACTGTATCACCTCTCTACTACAGTCCCCCTGTGTTATACTGTATCACCTCTCTACTACAGTCCCTCTGTGTTATACTGTATCACCTCTCTACTATAGCCCCCTGTGTTATACTGTATCACCTCTCTTCTACAGCCCCCTGTGTTATACTTTATCACCTCTCTACTACAGTCCCTCTGTGTTATACTACATCACCTCTCTACTACAGTCCCTCTGTGTTATACTACATCACCTCTCTGCTACAGTCCCCCTGTGTTATACTGTATCACCTCTCTACTACAGTCCCCCTGTGTTATACTGTATCACCTCTCTACTACAGTCCTGTGTTATACTGTATCACCTCTACTTCAGTCCCCCTGTGTTATACTGTATCACCTCTCTACTACAGTCCCCCTGTGTTATACTCTATCATCTCTCTACTACAGTCCTGTGTTATACTGTATCACCTCTCTACTACAGTCCCCCTGTGTTATACTGTATCACTTCTCTACTACAGTCCTGTGTTATACTGTATCATCTCTCTACTACAGTCCCCCTATGATATACTGTATCACCTCTCTACTACAGCCCCCTGTGTTATACTGTATCACCTCTCTACTACAGTCCCCCTATGTTATACTTTATCACCTCTCTACTACAGCCCCCTTTGTTATACTGTATCACCTCTCTACTACAGTCCCCCTGTGTTATACTCTATCATCTCTCTACTACAGTCCTGTGTTATACTGTATCACCTCTCAGTCCCCCTGTGTTATACTGTATCACCTCTCTACTACACCTGTGTTATACTGTAACACCTCTACATACTGTATCACCTCTCTACTACAGTCCCCCTGTGTTATATCATTTCTCTACTACAGTCCTGTGTTATACTGTATCACCTCTCTACTACAGTCCCCCTGTGTTATACTGTATCACTTCTCTACTACAGTCCTGTGTTATACTGTATCATCTCTCTACTACAGTCCCCCTATGATATACTGTATCACCTCTCTACTACAGCCCCCTGTGTTATACTGTATCACCTCTCTACTACAGTCCCCCTATGTTATACTTTATCACCTCTCTACTACAGCCCCCTTTGTTATACTGTATCACCTCTCTACTACAGTCCCCCTGTGTTATACTCTATCATCTCTCTACTACAGTCCTGTGTTATACTGTATCACCTCTCTCAGTCCCCCTGTGTTATACTGTATCACCTCTCTACTACAGTCCTGTGTTATACTGTATCATCTCTCTACTACATTCCCCCTATGATATACTGTATCACCTCTCTACTACAGCCCCCTGTGTTATACTGTATCACCTCTCTACTACAGTCCCCCTATGTTATACTTTATCACCTCTCTACTACAGCCCCCTTTGTTATACTGTATCACCTCTCTACTACAGTCCCCCTGTGTTATACTGTATCACTTCTCTACTACAGTCCTGTGTTATACTGTATCACCTCTCTACTACAGTCCTGTGTTATACTGTATCACCTCTCTACTACAGTCCCCCTATGTTATACTTTATTACCTCTCTACTACAGCCCCCTTTGTTATACTGTATCACCTCTCTACTACAGTCCCCCTGTGTTATACTCTATCATCTCTCTACTACAGTCCTGTGTTATACTGTATCACCTCTCTACTACAGTCCCCCTGTGTTATACTGTATCACCTCTCTACTACAGTCCTGTGTTATACTGTATCACCTCTACTACAGTCCCCCTGTGTTATACTGTATCACCTCTCTACTACAGTCCCCCTGTGTTATACTCTATCATTTCTCTACTACAGTCCTGTGTTATACTGTATCACCTCTCTACTACAGTCCCCCTGTGTTATACTGTATCACTTCTCTACTACAGTCCTGTGTTATACTGTATCATCTCTCTACTACAGTCCCCCTATGATATACTGTATCACCTCTCTACTACAGCCCCCTGTGTTATACTGTATCACCTCTCTACTACAGTCCCCCTATGTTATACTTTATCACCTCTCTACTACAGCCCCCTTTGTTATACTGTATCACCTCTCTACTACAGTCCCCCTGTGTTATACTCTATCATCTCTCTACTACAGTCCTGTGTTATACTGTATCACCTCTCTACTACAGTCCCCCTGTGTTATACTGTATCACCTCTCTACTACAGTCCTGTGTTATACTGTATCATCTCTCTACTACAGTCCCCCTATGATATACTGTATCACCTCTCTACTACAGCCCCCTGTGTTATACTGTATCACCTCTCTACTACAGCCCCCTTTGTTATACTGTATCACCTCTCTACTACAGTCCTGTGTTATACTGTATCACCTCTCTACTACAGTCCTGTGTTATACTGTATCACCTCTCTACTACAGTCCTGTGTTATACTGTATCAACTCTCTACTACAGTCCTCCTGTGTTATACTGTATCACCTCTCTACTAGATTCCCCCTGTGTTATACTACGGCACTTCTCTACTACTGTCCCTTGTGTTATACTGTGTCAACCCTCTGCTGCAGTCCTGCTGTGTTTTATGGTCTTACATAGCTAGTTTCTTTACAATCCTCTAATCATGTAGAACCTATTACACTGTGCCCCCTCCCTTTACTAAAGCTAATTTTCCTAAATTTATGCCACAGAGTATCATGTCTGTATCACCCCTTCTTCTACAATCTTTCTGTGTTTTACTTTATATACTGAAAGGATAAAGAAACGCAGGGTAATATTTATTCCGATATTTTGAAAACGCGTTCTCCAAATAATGTGAAACTTTGTGGATTGTCATGTATCGAAAATTTAGTCATGGTACAGTGCGCAGCTCTGGTAAATTGAGGAAGGAAAAAACAAGAATCTCGTGCATCATGTTGTTCTGGTCTCATGCAGCGTTGGTCAAGTCACTCTTCATTAGTCTTTATACAGACCAACTGCTTCCTTAAAATTAATTGAGTATTTGATTCGTTTTAAGAATGGCACAACTCACAGAAGTTCAGAGGGTCAGGCCATTCATTTGCTGATGCAAGGACAGCTGCAAAATCAGGTTGTTAGGCACTTTGGTGTTAATGTTTCCACCATAGAACGTCTTCGGGAAACTGGGCGATTGGCCGATCGACCTAGGTCAGGACGTCCGCACGTAACGTCACGACGTCAGGATCGCAATATTGTCGTCTCTCATGTGTGTAATCGGCGCCTTACTGCTGTTGAGAGTGCACTTAATGTTCGTGAAAATACTGGGCGTCCTATAAGTTCAAAAACTGTAAGGAATCGATTACGAGAAGTTGGTGTAAGAGCACGTCGCCCCTATGTAGGTCCACAGCTTACCCCTGTATGGCCTGGGTCGCTACGCATACTCAACGACGGTTTCCACTGAGGCAGTAGAGACAAGTTTTCTTCACGGACGAGTCTCGATTCTGTCTTTATCGATCTGACGGCCGTCAACGTGTCTACCAACGTCGTGGCGAACGTTTTTCGAACGCTTGTGTTGTAGAGAGGGATAGGTTTGGGGGCGGTTCAGTAATGGTGTGGGGAGGAATCTCACACGGGTTAAAATCACAATGGGTTGTTATTGATGGCAATTTAACAGCAGCTAAGTATAGAGATGAAATCCTCCGACCCCATGTTATCCCTTTCTTACAGCAGCATAATCTAACCCTCCAGCAGGATAATGCTAGGCCCCACGTAGCAAGGATTTGCCAAGTCTTTCTGGCCAACAACAACATTCAACCACTAGATTGGCCGCCATATAGCCCTGATTTGTCCCCGATCGAGCATCTTTGGGACCAGTTGGATAGACAGGTTCGAAAGCGCCAGCCAGCCCCTGCTACTCGAGAGCAGTTGACCAGAGCTCTGATTGAAGAGTGGGACAACATCCCCATAAGACGGATTAACGCTCTCATGAACTCTATGACCAGAAGAATAAGGGCCGTGACCACAGCAAACGGCAGACACACAAGATATTGATGACTCAGTTCAATTTCAATTTCAAAATCCTATGGGTCCATTCAATTTAATCGTTAGAACCTCTAAACCAATTGTCAGGTGCAAAATACAGAATTTGGACATTTTTAAGCTTTAATTTATCTGTAAGTATACAAAATTTCGTTTTAAATGAAGCCCAATATCATACTTAATTTCTGGTTTAAAGTTCACCCTGAGTTTCTTTATCCTTTTAGTATATATCACCGCTCAATATTTGTAGACTTTCCTGTGGTAATGATTAACAAGTGTCATGTTAAGAGGTTTGACCATGACATCAAAGTCCCTGTAGATGTTATTTTTCATGACTGTTTACATTTATGTTTACATGGTGTATCATGAGTAAACAAACCATTATGATTATAGTTATTACATCTATATAAAGATCAACACTGCTATGAAAAATACTAGCAATTAAGACTTTACTAAGTTATTAATGGGTCATTAAACACTTACACATGTGTGTGTATTATTTATATATATATGTGTTGGGAGTCAGAAAGTTTTCTTTTTTGTCCAAAGCTTACATGTTTCTGTATGTGTGATCAGTGAGGCATAATGGTAATAAAAGGCAGTGTGCTGGTGTTTTCACGCTCCAATGTTTACAATTTATGGGAGAGTGATCATGATGAGAGAACACACAGGATGAGTCAGACTTTGTAAGGGTATACACATATACCTGGTACATACATATACCTGGCTACATGTCTCTACCGGTTAAAATGTAGTATACATAGCTTTAAGCAGGTAGCTGTACAGCGCTGGGATCTACAGTTTGTTTATATGACACCAGCCATGAAATTTAATACAATTAATTCGTACAGGTAAGAAAAACAGTGCTTTCCCACCAAATACTGTGCATACCTGTAGAGATGTTTCTACTTCCTGTACTGAACAGGCAGAATGTGTATGTAGGATTGTCTGGTTAGTAAACAATACATATACACACGTGTCTGGTTTTATAGAAGATTAGAACTTGTGGTGAATAATTCAGTCTTCTTTTTTTCCTCTCTTATATTACCAAGTACTGGCTTTTGGATTTAAATTGATGTGTTGGGTATCATTTTCCTCGAGTATATACTAGCATAATTCTGTACCCCTATATTTACATTGTAATGGGCTATGATACAAATAAATAAATGTGATTTTAAATTGTTCCAATTGAACAAATTTGTATCTATTTAGTGTCACAATTACTAGATCACCTGGCAAAGTACTTATAAAAATATTATACTTTGAGTATTGTACAACGAAAGCAAATTAATATGAATTGTAACACAGCCATGAATAGATTGTAACAAAAAACTTGTTTAATTTTCATAGTAATATGTTTTTGAATAAATATGAAAAACCTATACAAACTCAAAAGTAAATAAAAAAATATCTGGTGATTAGATTACAGAGATCACTCTGACCTACATTTTGACCTTTGACTCGCATCTAACAAAATTTTTGTTGACTCTACCTCCTACACTACTTGTCACTAGAACTTCATACCTGGGGTTTGCCTGATTCACCTTGGTGAGGCAATGTGTTAATGTAAGGGACTGTAATTCTCAGGAGGATCTTATTTCAAAATTTGCTTTATTGAGTTAAAATAATAAACAACAGTAATTATTCTATTAATGTTTTATAAACTAATAAAATAAAAACTCCAAATTAGCCAAACACACATATTAGTACCTTTTCTTTCTTGTCAACCCAACTTAAGTTATGACACTTTTGTTCATAGTATATGTATGAATCAATCCGGATCAAATAAATCTTTTCAAATATAATTTGTTTTATTCAAAGCAAATAATACAATTCCATTTTTTTCAGAATAAAAGGTTTTGAGAATTCTCATCTGTTCTGGGGACATTGCCTGCAGTTACCATGGTTATCCCTGGCCCCTGAGGATGGAGTATGAAGTGCCCGAGCAGCTGTGGACCTGTGATTCCTGTACCCTTACCAATGGTGAGGGAAGAGATACATGTACAGTCTGTGGGAGGGAAAGACAGCTGTTTCCTGGACAACACTGTCCCCCTCTGGAGCCCCGCAATATCAGAGATGGGGCAACTAGTCATACAAGTCCTCTCTCACCGCAGGGAGGAGTCAGACCAAAAGTTTTGACAAGTAATTCTAAAGTTCCTCCCCCTAGACCCTCCCCTCTTGGAGGTCCAACTGATCCTATCACTGTTGACATGGAGACTACACAGGGACAACTTTGGGATTGTGACAATTGTGCAATGAAAAATGTAAGGGGCTCTGATAACTGTGTGAATTGTCGGACACACAAGGAGGAGGAAGTAATTATCATTAATGATGACGATGAGTATGTTGTCCGATACAACCATATCTCTTCCCCAACTGTTTTGGAGCCTGCAAATTCCATGGCTCCAACAAGGAAATCTGAACCAACATTGGAGAAGGCTAGCAAGGAAAAACCTGCACCACAGGAATGGGCTTGTAAACGCTGCACATTGACAAATGCTCCTGGTAACAAAAAGTGTTCGTTATGCGAAACTCCAAAGGAAATTAAGATGCCAACCTTAGCTTATGATAGAACTGATGAGTTTCCTACTTCAAGTAAACGAGGTGTCCCAGACGGTATGGAGTCTGAGTCCCATAAAAATAAAAACGGTGTCCAAAGGCAGGTGAAAACTACGAAAGGAAATGAATCCGGTGTAATGCCCAAAACACGTGATAATGCTGGAATATCACGGAGGTCAAAATCTGACACTCTAGTTGCTATGACAGATGAATGGGTGTGTAAGTCATGCAGTTTTTCATGTAATCCTTCTTGGAGTGCAAAGTGCACGTGCTGCTTGGTGTCAAGACAGACAACTCCTGCTGGTAGTTCAAGTCCTGCCCATCAAAGAGCAAGCAGTATTCCTGTCTCCCCACCAGACAGGCTTTTGATGATCAGTCAGTCCTCAAATAGAGCAGAAACAGGTCACTCAGAAAAACAATCCCCCAGACTGAATCATAATCCCTTAGGTAAACGTTCAGTAACTAAGTTAAAATCAGAAGATGTGAGTTCCCCACCTAAAAGTAAGACAAAATTTTGGAATTGCCCTTTATGTACTTTTCAGAATCCAAAAACAGTTCTAGCATGTGGTATGTGTGGTACTGAAAAGGCAATGCCATCCGATTTACATTGGAACTGTCCCAAATGTACTTTAAGAAATCGAAAAGAAGTGACTGTCTGCAAAGCATGTGGAAGCAAAATGAAAAGTGAAACGGAAAACAGCACAGGAAGTAGAGACGGTGATGAGATAGGTATTGATGTCCATGCTGGTGTTACGGGCAGTGAAAAGGATAGCAGTATTCAAACGCCAAGGCAATCTCCAGGCGGAAAAAAAATCGGACGAGAATCAGGTGTCTCGGAAGATACATGTACACAAAAGATAACTCCAGCTAGAAAGCAACCAGAAAGGAAATCAAATTTCCTGGAAGATTTACAGAGATTAACATCGCCTAAAGAGGAGTCATCTGCGGCAAGTGCTTCTCATAAATCCAGTCAAGGAAAGGACAAAACAGACAAAAGTTCTATAGGAAAAGACAAAAAACTGAAAGGTTCTTTAGGTAAAGACAAACCTGACAAAGGTTCTTTAGGTAAAGACAAACCTGACAAAGGTTCTTTAGGTAAAGACAATAGTTTAGATAAGGTTAAAAGTGTATGGTCTTGTTCTGAATGTACCTATAAGAACTCACTAAATAACACTCAGTGCAAAGTTTGTAGAACACTCCACACAAAGACAGACGTTTCGTCTAGCATGTCATTACAACGACAGCAGAGCACACTCATGGATGATATACGAAAGACAGAAGAAAGCGATGCTCTGGAGTTGTGGCAGCATATTACTTTCTTTTGTCGCCAGGTAAATATAACCATCACCATAGAAACAATTAAGGTCTGTGCCATCAGAGAGTTATCTCATGTAAGGTGCCTTTTGCTTGTAAGAGTTCAGGTATGTTATTCTATAAATCTACTGGAGTCAAAAACAGAATTAGTTCTTAAAAACTTCAGATGATTTTTGCAATCTCTTAGTTATGTGAACTTTTCTGTGTTTTAAGTCTATAGAATCATTGTTTACTTCTGCTAGCATTTTGTTGATTTGTTTCAATACAGCTAAACAAATGTGAGTTACATTCAAACAGATGGTGTGTGTATACATGTAATTTAAAAATGTTTTTATTCAAACATGGCCTTTGATAAAGTTGTAGCTCATAGATCCTTGTGAAAGAGTATATTTAAGTAAGTAAGCTATTTCAAAAATTTGGAAACACACCACTAACATAGTTATTTCATCAGTTGTGTTGTATTTTCCTTTGTAGCAGAAGGAACCATTTATAGATGACGCTTTCCCTCCTGCTGTTAAATCCCTGTTTTATGATAGTTCTGCACCATTCACGTCCACAACTGTAAATTGGTGTCGGCCTGATGACATCACAATGGACCAAGTGGGTGAGGATGAAATACCTTGGGCAGTGTACAGGACACCAATGCCAGAGGACATTTCACAAGGACTTCTGGGTAACTGTTGGTATGTACATCACAAGGACTTCTGGGTAACTGTTGGTATGTACAACACAAGGACTTCTGGGTAACTGTTGGTATATACATTGTACAACACAAGGACTTCTGGGTAACTGTTGGTATGTACAACACAAGGACTTCTGGGTAACTGTTGGTATATACATTGTACAACACAAGGACTTCTGGGTAACTGTTGGTATGTACAACACAAGGACTTCTGGGTAACTTTAGGTATATACATTGTACAACACAAGGACTTCTGGGTAACTGTTGGTATATACATTGTACAACACAAGGATTTCTGGGTAACTGTTGGTATATACAATGTACAACGCAAGGACTTCTGGGTAACTGTTGGTATATACAGTGTACAACACAAGGACTTCTGGGTAACTGTAGGTATGTACAACACAAGGACTTCTGGGTAACTGTAGGTATATACATTGTACAACACAAGGACTTCTGGGTAACTGTTGGTATATACAATGTACATCACAAGGTCTTCTGGGTAACTGTTGGTATATACAATGTACATCACAAGGTCTTCTGGGTAACTGTTGGTATATACATTGTAAACCACATGGACGTCTGGGTAATTGTTGGTTTGTACATCACAAGGACTTCTGGGTAACTGTTGGTATGTACATCACAAGGACCTCTGGGTAACTGTTGGTATGTACAACACAAGGACTTCTGGGTAACTGTAGGTATATACGTTGTACAACACAAGGATTTCTGGGTAACTGTTGGTATATACAATGTACATCACAAGGTCTTCTGGGTAACTGTTGGTATATACATTGTAAACCACAAGGACGTTTGGGTAACTGTTGGTATATACATTGTAAACCACATGGACTTCTGGGTAATTGTTGGTTTGTACATCACAAGGACTTCTGGGTAACTGTTGGTATATACAGTGTACACCACAAGGACCTCTGGGTAACTGTTGGTATATACAGTGTACACCACAAGGACTTCTGGGTAACTGTAGGTATATATATTGTACAACACAAGGACTTCTGGGTAACTGTTGGTATATACAGTGTACAACACAAGGACTTCTGGGTAACTGTAGGTATGTACAACACAAGGACTTCTGGGTAACTCTAGGTATATATTGTACAACACAAGGACTTCTTGGTAACTGTTGGTATATACAATGTACACCACAAGGACTTCTGGGTAACTGTTGGTATATACAATGTACACCACAAGGACTTCTGGGTAACTGTTCATATGTATGTCACAGGAACTTCTAGGTAACCGTTGGTATGTACATCTATAAACATTACAGGAAATTCTAGGTAACCGTTGGTGTGTACATCTATACACATTACAGGAAATTCTAGGTAACCGTTGGTGTGTACATCTATACACATTACAGGAAATTCTAGGTAACCGTTGGTGTGTACATCTATACACATTACAGGAAATTCTAGGTAACCGTTGGTGTGTACATCTATACACATTACAGGAAATTCTAGGTAACCGTTGGTGTGTACATCTATACACATTACAGGAAATTCTAGGTAACCGTTGGTGTGTACATCTATACACATTACAGGAAATTCTAGGTAACCGTTGGTGTGTACATCTATACACATTACAGGAAATTCTAGGTAACCGTTGGTGTGTACATCTATACACATTACAGGAAATTCTAGGTAACCGTTGGTGTGTACAGCTATACACATTACAGGAAATTCTAGGTAACCGTTGGTGTGTACATCTATACACATTACAGGAAATTCTAGGTAACCGTTGGTGTGTACATCTATACACATTACAGGAAATTCTAGGTAACCGTTGGTGTGTACATCTATACACATTACAGGAAATTCTAGGTAACCGTTGGTGTGTACATCTATACACATTACAGGAAATTCTAGGTAACCGTTGGTGTGTACAGCTATACACATTACAGGAAATTCTAGGTAACCGTTGGTGTGTACATCTATACACATTACAGGAAATTCTAGGTAACCGTTGGTGTGTACATCTATACACATTACAGGAAATTCTAGGTAACCGTTGGTGTGTACATCTATACACATTACAGGAAATTCTAGGTAACCGTTGGTGTGTACATCACAGGAAATTTGTATACACAACAAAGATCATTCTGTATAATTGTTAGTATATGCATCACTGTGAATTCTTGCAGGAATAACTCTTGGCACTACACAACACATGGAATTAAGGTAACTGTTGGCATGTACAAAACACAGACTTATGGGTAACAATATTTAAAAAGTAAAATTTAGAAAAATCTTTGTAACAAGTTACACATTAGTTATTTCAGGGTGCATATAGTTGGGGAAATATGAAATGCAATGAACATGTTGGAGAATTTTGGATTAGTGTTGCAGGAAAATGTGGGTAAAGGTTTTGTTCTTGAAATATGGATTGTTCTGGTGATTGTTTTTGTGTTTACCTTGTGAATTTATTTATCATTGTCCAGACAATAATGATGTAGTAATACATGTAGATACTAACAAAAACAAAAAGTATAAGACAACACATAGATAACCTAACCTTAGTCTTTGAATCCGAAGTGGTGTTCAAGGTCAGAATATTTGGAAAAGTGTGTTGAAATTAACAAAAGTTTGATAAGTTCAAAAGAAAGAAAAAGAAATTCTTTTAAATCTACTCGAGTAAGAAATAATTAGAAATTATTGTAAATTTATGTTAAAGATGTTTAAATGAAAACTCTATTTAGACCTGTAATTATGAATACAGGTTCCTGAGTGCATTAGCAGTGTTGGCAGAGCGTCCAGAACTTGTAGAGAAGATCATTCTGACAAAAGACTACTGTCCTCAGGGAGTTTACCAGGTTCGACTGTGTAAGGATGGTAACTGGCAGATTGTCCTTATTGATGACCTTCTGCCTTGTGACCCAAGGAACAAACTCATGTTCTCACAGGTAATTTCTGATCAGCTCCTCAGTTTCTGTAGGATAACATGTCCCCTTATAGAGCGTTATTGTGAAAATGGATCTTTAATTAACACATTAATGAATTTAATGCATTTTGTAATTATTTGAACTCAATAATTTCTTGATGAATGAAACCCATTTTGTCTGGATACTTTGTAGCCAGTGTGATAATGAGATTTTCAGTACCATAGGTAATTTGTTCATGCATGCCAATAGCAGTATACCACATAATGGATTTAATACCTCCTAAATTACTCCATTAGGTGTTACAAAAAAAGCTTGAATATATTTTTACCTTATTTCACCATGTCAGACTTTCACTATTGAGGAGCTGGGCTAAAACTACATTATTTAACTTCAAGTAATTTAATATTCACAAGTTCAATATTTGTCATACATCCATATGGCAAAAATTAGACACTGTGAAAATATGCTTTATGGTATTAGACTGTTACAAATACATATTTGTATGTATTTCTGGTGCTGCAGGCCAAGAGAAAACAACTGTGGGTGCCCCTGATTGAGAAAGCTATGGCCAAGCTTCATGGCTGCTATGAGGCATTGATTGCTGGAAAGTCAATAGAAGGCCTTGCCACCTTGACAGGTGCCCCATGTGAGAATATTGACCTTCAAGGTATGTAAATAACACTAACACTCCTGGCAGATCTTTCATACCCTCAGCTTGGTACCTATCATTTACTACTACCATTTTCCCAGGTTTGTCAAATCACATCTACATATAGGGTCTCATTAAGGTTATCCTATTCCAAAACTGTTAAATGTCAAACTTAATGGGGGAAAAAAAAGTAATGTTATTTTATTCATAACTCAGCGTTATGTTTCCAATTCAAATTTCTGCATGGTAAATTGCCACATATTTTCTTTTGCTAAACCTCCTTCAAAACGACTCTTTTATTGAACAGATATATATTGCAAGGAGTATAATTCTTCTCTCTTTGCCACCTTTTTATACAAGAAGCAGGTTTCTATGTACCTTTTTATTGTGTTTGGTAATTCCCTGAAGTTCCATTCAATATATTACTAAGACATAAGTATTATCTTGTAGATAACCAGCAAAGAGAAGAAGATATTGACCCAGACTTTATCTGGGCTCGCCTGCTGAGTTCACGAGATGCTGGGTAAATATTAATATCTGTTTCAGTCTTGCTAAAATATACATCACAAGATGTCAGACAATCTAACAATGTTTTTCAGGCATTTAAAGAGTAACCTTTGACCCTTCAATGTACACTGGCTATAAATGTCTTGAAAGGAAAGTACTTGAATATCATAAAAACGTTTCTGAAGTACAATGTTATATAGTTTTGATGACAGACTCTGAAATGTTATTGAAGTACAATGTTATATAGTTTTGATGACAGACACTGAAGTGTTGTTGAAGTACAATGTTATATAGTTTTGATGACAGACTCTGAAGTGTTGTTGAAGTACAATGTTATATAGTTTTAATGACAGACACTGAAGTGTTGTTGAAGTACAATGTTATATAGTTTTGATGACAGACACTGAAGTGTTGTTGAAGTACAATGTTTTATAGTTTTGATGACAGACTCTGAAGTGTTGTTGAAGTACAATGTTTTATAGTTTTGATGACAGACACTGAAATGTTATCGAAATACAATGTTTTATAGTTTTGATGACAGACACTGAAGTGTTGTTGAAGTACAATGTTTTATAGTTTTGATGACAGACTCTGAAATGTTATCGAAATACAATGTTTTATAGTTTTGATGACAGGCACTGAAGTGTTGTTGAAGTACAATGTTTTATAGTTTTGATGACAGAATCTGAAGTGTTGTTGAAGTACAATGTTTTATAGTTTTGATGACAGACTCTGAAGTGTTGTTGAAGTACAATGTTTTATAGTTTTGATGACAGACTCTGAAGTGTTGTTGAAGTACAATGTTTTATAGTTTTGATGACAGACTCTGAAGTGTTGTTGAAGTACAATATTTTATAGTTTTGATGACAGACTTTGAAGTGTTGTTGAAGTACAATGTTTTATAGTTTTGATGACAGACACTGAAGTGTTATTGAAGTACAATGTTATATAGTTTTGATGACAGACACTGAAGTGTTGTTGAAGTACAATGTTATATAGTTTTGATGACAGACACTGAAACGATATTGAAGTACAATGTTATATAGTTTTGATGTCAGACTTTGAAATGATATCTATTGTTTCTTTTCTACTTTTTCTGTTAAACATTATCAACTTCTTTATTTGTCTGTTTTAACCTATAGGTTCCTGATGGGAGGGTCCTGTGGAGGGGGCAACATGAAGGTAGATGAAGAGCGTTATGAGTCTGTAGGTCTGAGACCAAGACATTCTTACTCCATCTTGGATGTCAAGGATGTAGAGGGAAACAGGTGAGTAGTTCCTTATTTCATAAAAAATTTAGGTAACACTGGGTTTGTAGGTCAAGGACACATATAATACAAACTTGCAAAGTTGCAATGCTTGGTTTGTAAGGAGTCATAGACTTCAAATAATACTCAGCTTGTCAAGGTCAAGGACACAATGGTATCTAGGTCAGAAGTGAAGTATTTTCTACAGACTTAGGGTAATACTTGACCAGTGAGTAAATGACCAAGCAATATACCTGTCAGTTAAGTCACACAAATTTCAGGTAACAGTTGGTTTGTAGGTCAAGGACATTGAAGTATTTAGGTTTTATCTAAAAACTTTTAACAGCTCTTATGTAATTTGGTCAGTTGATGAAAGACAATACTGGTTATTAAGATAGGAATATGTAGATTAAGCTTTCTCCACCTTTTTTTTGTCAACAGGTTAATACGACTTCGGAATCCATGGGGAAGGTTCTCATGGAAAGGTGACTGGTATGATAACTCGCCTTGTTGGGACACAATTAGCTATCATGCCAAAGAGGATCTCATGCTACATGGTGACAATGCAGGCATCTTCTGGATGTCCCTCAGTGACCTCATGATGTAAGCCAACTTGTTCTATGCCTTTATAAAGGCCATCTGGTTCAAACAAAAGCAAACAAAGTTGAATTCAGCAAGTCCCCAATATTTTATGGGGGCTGTAGTTTTACCCCAACCAATCATGACCCAATGTCATCACTCGATTGCCTTTATTTTCTTGAGAGATTTCAATCAAATTTTATACTAAGTTCAACTATGACAATTTCTTATGTATTTCAGTGTCAGGGTTTCAAGGCCATTTTTATGTGTTGTGGCAATTTGCCATACATTGGTACTTATCTGAATGGGTGTGGGGACTTTTTTCATCCATATGTCTAACAGGCATATTCTTGTTTATGGTAAATTTTGCTGTTGATGAAGTACTTTTGGATAGTATCATAGATATTATTGCAAAAAATTGTGAAAAAAAAAATGTTATAAGACAAATATAAAATACAAATACAAGATCTAAATTGGGGCAATATTCTCATTTAATATCTCTTACTTTGATGACATCACACTGCATATGATGTTATGATGTCATGATGTCACATTGGAGCCAATGGGAACCTTTAGCCAATCAAATCATTGCTAGGTCATATTACACATGTGTGATAGCACAAAGTTATATAATGGGTATTGTTTCACTGATGATAGAGTAGTTATGTGATAAATGACATATCATGAAAGAGCAATGTGCCATATACAGTGTTATCCTTATCAGTGTCATCAAGGTCAAAGCAAAGCATTGTATACAATTTGCCCAAATCATAGTTTGATATATATTTTTAGTTTTTCAAAAACTTCACTGAAGGAAATAAAATAAATGGCTGTTTTATCTTTTATACAATACTTGTGTCTTAAGAAGCCTTAAGTTAAGGACCTAAGGGTGGAAGCTTTTCTAAGTCTTTATGTAAAGACTGAATATTATGTGTGAAAATTTTCTAAAGAATGTCTTATCATAGTACAGCTCTGGGGTGTTGAATGTTTATAAAACTGTTTTGGTCTGTTCTACGATGGCATTATCAAATACAGCTCTGGGATATTGAATGTTTACAATACTGTTTTGGTCTGTTCTACAATGACAATACAAAAATACAGCTCTGGGATGTTAAATGTTTACAATACTGTTTTGGTCTGTTCTACAATGACAATACAAAAATACAGCTCTGGGATGTTGAATGTTTACAATACTGTTTTGGTCTGTTCTACAATGACAATACAAAAATACAGCTCTGGGATGTTAAATGCATTAAGATTTTCATTTATTGAAAAATAAATCTAAAATTATTGATTTTTCAATAATTTGTTTGTAATTTGAAATAGATATTAGGGGATCCCTTGCTTCCATCTGACTGGAAATTTTATAAATACTGATGCATTTGTTTGTTTTCCGATTTTTGTTTTCAATAAAAAAAATGCTTCCGATTTGTTTTGTAGATATTTTGACAGCATTGACATTTGTAAGGTGCGACCTGATTGGAGGGAAACTAGGATCAATGGGACTTTGCCATCCAATGCCAGAGAGTCTTTCAAAATGGTGAAGCTAACAGTGTTCTATACATCTGAAGTGGAGATTTGTCTGTTCCAGGAAGGAATGAGGTAAGTACACATATCTACTGTAAAATTTCCAAGTCATGTCACGATTTGACCTTTCATCAATACTGGAGTCAATTATTCTCCTGGCAATTTTATTCAGAGATTTTGCATACTTAATCTTAAAGTTGGTTTGTTTCAAATAAAGTTGTGATTAGGTGATCTCTAAGAAATAGTGCAAAAAACTAACTTTGTATTATGATAAGAACAAGAACCAGGTGTTTATAAATCCAGTTTGAAGTAATACAGCACAATATCCATTTACATCAGTAATATATTATTGAAGTTATTGTGCCCATGAGTACACACAGCGCATGTATGTCTAGTAGCTGAAGAAAAACAAGGCTCAGGTCAGAGAGTAGTTGACCTTTAACTTTTTTGCCTGGTTAAAGTTTGAGGTCAGTGTAGTTTATCTTTAACCTTTGCCAGGTTAAAGTTCCATGACAAAGAGCAGCTGACGTTAAATTCTTTGCATTGTCAAAATTCCAGAGCAATTTGTAATTCATCTTTCACCTTTTTATTATAAAAGGTCAAGGACAGAGTAATTGACCTTATACCTTTGCCCATCCTCGATACTCCAAGGGTTACAATCACTTTCGCACATCCTCGATACTCCAGGGGTTACAATCACTTTTGCCCGTCCTCGATACTCCAGGGGTTACAATCACTTTTGCCCGTCCTCGATACTCCAGGGGTTACAATCACTTTTGCCCATCCTCGATACTCCAAGGGTTACAATCACTTTCGCACATCCTCGATACTCCAGGGGTTACAATCACTTTCGCACATCCTCGATACTCCAGGGGTTACAATCACTTTTGCCTGTCCTCGATACTCCAGGGGTTACAATCACTTTTGCCCGTCCTTGATACTCCAGGGGTTACAATCACTTTTGCCCATCCTCGATACTCCAGGGGTTACAATCACTTTTTGCTCTCTGCACCCCTGGAACATGTCATGGCAAAATCAAAGTAATTTGATTGATTCCAGGAGAAAAATCCTGACAAATCATAGCCTGATATGCTCCTTGTGAAGATTACAGAGGAGCGACACCCAACGTCAAAGCTATTACAATATACTGTTATGCAACATCGAAATTTGTTTGATGTACATCAAAGGATTAAACTTGTCTTTTCGTCTTGTCCACAAGGTGTCACACATGGAACCTTCAATTTTGCCATGTCTAGTTAAAGTTCCATGTCCTTATTGAGACAACTTACACTTTTCCTTGTTTAAGTTTCAGTATATATGGTAATTTAACATTTGCCTTGTAGGAGTACTAAGACAGAGAGTAAGAACCCAGCTGACCTCTGTGTGCTGATACTAAGAGACTCGTCAAACACCACCCAGGCGTTTGGTCCCCTGGTGGAGAGTAGCCAGAGACAGATCCGGAGTTTTGTTGGCTGTAGTAAGATGCTGGAGCCTGGGGAGTATATTCTTGTCCCTTTGGCCTTCAACCAATGGACTCTCAGTAAGAATGAACTGAAGTAACATATAATAGTAACAAAACAATTTGTTCTTCCTTACCTATTCTTCTTGGTAAATGAAGCATATTGAAAATATAGTATATCAAGACTTAGATTAGCTGAATCATTTTTCAATGCTTTATTGATAATTAAGATCAGTATAATTTTGTTTTACAGCTAACTTTAACAAAACTTTAATCATACTGAAATGTCCTCGATAAAAATAGTTGGGTTTGTAATGTTACTTGATTGGTCACTAAGATGAATACTCATATTCATCATATTACAAAAATTGCCCTGTGTTAAAGAGGCAATAGGCCATGCATATTTGTGGTTTACAAGGTATGTACGGCAGCATTTGCTGAAAAATTAATTTTGTCGTCAAATCAAGGTCTGATTTATCACATTTCTCAAAACTTCATTGAAAATTGAAATTCAGTCTTAAATTTGAATTCAAAATTTATGAACATTTTTCATTTCACAGGTACAAAGCCAGTAGTGAAACATGAATTTGTGCTGACAGTTCATAGCTCTAAAGCTCTGATGGTGGAAGAACTGGATACAAAACCTGATAAGTATCAGTATGCTATGGCTAGTGCAGTAATGGAGCTTGCTGTGGCCAAGGGCAAACGTGAGGGTGTAAGTATCAGTATATACTAGTATATTATTATGAAACATATGAATACAATTGAACCTATCCACTTGATACTGGCTTTGGAAACCTTCCACTGTGACTCAGTATAGTATAGATATTACCTAGATGTTGAGTAGTGATGTAACTTAAATTTTTTTTTTAAATTCACAGACATTAATATTGATGTTTAAGAAGTAAAATGGGGATTCTCTATGGGCCCAAATTTGATGGAATTTATTGTTACAAGAAACACTGAGATGTGGCAATAGGTTGAAGGTATTCAATTTGAACTAAATATGAAACATCAGTGAACCTGAAAATTGCAAAAAAATAAAAAGGATGCTGCATTTTGCCTGCTGTAATTTGTGATGGCTCTTTATCTTGCCCTGTCTGTATATCACAGGTGAGAGAGACTGTGACGGTTTACTCTCTCATGCACGGCTGGTCTGGAGGATTTTTTGTCGTGGAAAATCGAAATGCTGACCGATGTCTCCACATCAAGTGTGATTGTACAGAGAGTTCTAATGTTGTGTCAACTCGAGGGGTGCTCAAAACTGCTGATTGTATTCCACCACTGCACAGGTATAAACAATGCTTTCCCTTACCCTGGACAGGTAAATCCATGCTTTTTACTGGTGTGAGATTTCCTTGTCTCTTACCCTGGACAGGTAAATCTACACTTTTTACTGTTGTGAGATTTCCTTGTCTCTTACCCTGGACAGGTAAATCCACACTTTTTACCGGTGTGAGCTTTCCTTGCCCCTTACCCAGGACAGGTAAATCCACACTTTTTACTGTTGTGAGATTTCCTTGTCTCTTACCCTGGACAGGTAAATCCACACTTTTTAATGATGTGAGATTTCCTTGTCTCTTACCCTGGACAGGTAAATCCACACTTTTTACTGGTGTGAGATTTCCTTGTCTCTTACCCTGAACAGGTAAATCCACACTTTTTACAGTTGTGAGATTTCCTTGTCTCTTACCCTGGACAGGTAAATCCACACTTTTTACTGGTGTGAGATTTCCTTGTCTCTTACCCTGAACAGGTAAATCCGCACTTTTTACTGGTGTGAGATTTCCTTGTCTCTTACCCTGGACAGGTAAATCCACACTTTTTACTGGTGTGAGATTTCCTTGTCTCTTACCCTGGACAGGTAAATCCACACTTTTTACTGTTGTGAGATTTCCTTGTCTCTTACCCTGGACAGGTAAATCCACACTTTTTACTGTTGTGAGATTTCCTTGTCTCTTACCCTGGACAGGTAAATCCACACTTTTTACTGTTGTGAGATTTCCTTGTCTCTTACCCTGGACAGGTAAATCCATGCTCTTTACTGTTGTGAGATTTCCTCGTCTCACCTGAGAGGTGAGATGAGGGGATTCTTCTGTCATTCAGTGATATGATGTCACAGTAACAATTTAATGACTTGTCATTAACAATTAAATCATTTAAATGATGCAAAGCGCTGGGACACCAAAACATTTACTAGTACATAATGGGGGTCAGAAAGGTAAGCAAAAACTATTCATTCACCCCCTTGTTTGTGAGATAGTGGGGGACCCTAGGGAAAACCCCTCATCCCTCGGGAAAAGATGATTAAGTTGCGAACTCTCAGTAAGTCTCCTGTTTGCTAACTTAGTCGTCTTTCCCCTCAGGTTGAGATCCACCTATTCCACGTTCAAGGGGTTGAAAGATTCTTTAAACCTCTCACCTACTGATTCAACCTCATAAGAACACTTGGGATTAATATATCAATCGATTTTTCAAAGAATATTGAAAAAAAAATCTGAGAAATAAGTTGTAACATTTTAATGGTTTTATTCTGATAGGAAAAATTCTTTGATGAGATACAGAATTATCAAATGGGCTTATTCTCTAGTGTACTATACAGGTCTATGGTCCTCTTATTGAATATGATGAACTGTGCCTTTGATTGTGTTTTTAATATTGTTAATAGACAGGTGTTGATGATACTGAGTCAGCTGGAGCGCAGTGCCCCCTACCATCTGTCTCGTCGACTTCTACATCGTATGGATCGTGTACCAACTGGACTTGGGGACTGGGCGTCACCTGGTGTGAATCATGATCCTCTACTCACAGCTCATGTGATGGGCCTCCATACACCACGACCCCTGTAACCTGTCAATCATTTCAAACCTCGATCTCATGTCTGTCTATCTATCGGTCAATGAAATGTAAAGATAGGACAAATATGAAGCAAGGGTCAACCAACACCACACTTTAATTGAAATACCTGGAAATCTCTTCAAGGATGTTGTTGAGTATTTGTTTTAGAACACAGCAAACTGATATGATCATACTCCTCTTTGAATATTTTGAAGCACTTTGATATTAAAATTTAAAGAAAAAATTCTTTAATTTAATTTAAGTTTAATTCTACAACATATAAGTTAGTGGAAGCCTGACTCAGTGAAAGGTAACAACTTCGGCAGGGATAAAATTGAGTTATTGAAATCAGGTAGTTAGAGTGGTCAATTTTCATAGGTGCAGCCATCCAAAAAAGGCACTAGTCATATTTAATGGGTAGAGTGAATTCCAGTGGAAAGAGTTCTGTTTATTAGGTAGAGTCATTTCCTATCTGGAGGATTAAATTTTTTTAAAGTCATATTGGGATGAGAAGATTTTAATAGGTCGAGTCCATCCATGACAAGGAGATTCTATTTTAATTTTAATGAGTCAGTTTACAGTTGGAAGATTTCATTTTAACTTTTAGAGTCCATTCACATTGCATGATCTTGACATAAGTTAAATAAGTCAAATCTCAATTCTAAGAGTTTGAGTTAATTAGTCACATTAGTGTAGGAGAAGTATGTTTCAAGTCAAAATGGGAGGAGACATTTTATCTAGAGGTCAATACATGTATGTCAAGTCACAGCAGAGGGATTCAAATTTAATGGGAGAATGTACAAGTAATTCAGAGTCTTTTCATCCCCCAATCCCCCCTAAACCCCAACCGCACCCTCACTCCTGCTTCAAACAATGACAATGAGCCTTTGTTTAGAATGTATGAGGGATAGACTAAATCGATGGAGTAGTCAGTGTACATTGTAAGATGTATGAATAACAATGAGTTTGATTTATGAATACATTCTTGCTGAAATGAAGATAATTTTAGTATCAATTATTGACATGTTTTAGTGTACAAATTAAGCCATGTTTTAGTTTACAAATTAAGCCATGTTTTAGTTTAGTATCACAATCACTTGCCTGTTTAAACACGACCACACATTTAAGTAGAAATAGTGACACAATTTAGTAAAGAGACATTTTTTAATTTGCCTGGTGATATGAACTGCAGCATTTTTGTTGTTGACAAATTTTCCTTATTTTTATAGTTAAGCACAGAAGGTCTGCAGGTGCCTTTTTGATACTTTTAATTGTTGTTATCAGTCTTATCTTGTAGTAATGTGAACAATCAATAGGTAGATAAAACTGTGGAGGGTATGATACAACTTTAATGTAATTCTGACCTGCTGAAGTTTTAATCAATTTTTTGATAAATACTGAGTATGTATTATACCAATTATAGACACACCAAGTGCTTTCCAAGATCAGAGAGATGCTGGGAATACACTATTAAGTTTCAGACAAGCTATTCTGTACTTAATGTTTTTATTTAGGGACAAATAAATGCTGATAATGTCATTCTAACTATATGAAATCTAGCATCATTCTATCGATTCAATTGTTAATCTATCATTTCATGAGAGAAATCTATGTTAGGAGCTGAATATATGTAAAATCACAGGGACTCTAGTAATTTGGTTTAGTATTTCAACTTATTTGCTTTTGTATCTTATTTCTGCAAATGTTGCTTTTGGAAAGCTCATAACTTTTCTGATACTAGTAATAATACATTGAGTAATATCAAACTAAATACCTGTGGTTATCTGTTAATGGAAAACTCATAACTTTTCTGATACTAGTAATAATACATTGAGTATTATCTAGCTAAATACCTGTGGTTAACTGTTGATGGAAAGCTCATAACTTTTCTTACACTAGTAATAATGCATTGAGTAATATCAAACTAAATACCTGTGGTTATCTGTTGATGGAAAACTCATAACTTTTCAGATACTAGTAATAATACATTGAGTATTGTCTGGCTAAATACTTGTGGTTATCTGTTGATGGAAAGCTCATAACTTTCAGATACTAGTAATAATACATTGAGTAATATCAAACTAAATACTTGTGGTTATCTGTTGATGGAAAGCTCATAACTTTTCTGATACTTGTAATAATACATTGAGTAATATTTAGCTAAATACTTGTGGTTATCTGTTGATGGAAAGCTCATAACTTTTCTGATACTAGTAATAATACATTGAGTATTGTCTGGCTAAATACTTGTGGTTATCTGTTGATGGAAAGCTCATAACTTTTCTGATACTTGTAATGACACATTGAGTATTATCTAGCTAAATACCTGTTGTTATCTGCAGAGATGTGTTGTATCATATGACCACAATATGACTGACTTCACTGTATAGTGATATTGAAATACATTACTTGCATTCCTCTTTTTTTAGAAATTGTTTACAAAATGTTATCAGTTTCACTTGATTTTTTATGTTTATAATTACGGCATTCAGTGTTTCATTATTAATTTTTGTAATTAATTGTTACCATGTTAAACTGCAATGACCACAGGTGGTCAGCACATTTCCTTGGCTGGTCAGTAGTCAGGAATGGGCTTATTAATACTGGTACAGGAAAATAAAAAAGCATTTACTCTCATCTGTTAAAAATATAGATTAGACACTGTATGATAATTTTGTATGTTTTATATTTTTGTTGATTTTCTAGGTATTTTAATCCGTGAATTTATTGTCCCTGAGATGATAAAACAGTTAAAAATTAACACAATTGTTTTGTACAAATGAATATAGTGATTACTTTTGATCCTCAAAAAACAAGAGCCAACAAAGTCATAAATTTTGAAGAATCATGAAATTTAAACCTTACAGATATCTTTTGATTTTACGGTATGGATCGGCTTCTTGCTGTTTAAATATGTAAAGTGATATTTCTTGCCAGGTAAAGTTTTATCCTACCTGTTGTTATCAATATCATGAGGTTGTTATCAAAGTTGCAATGTGATTACTGCATAGTTGGAAATTTTTGCGGGTTTACATTGTTGATTTTTTTTATCGGAGATGTCTGATTTTTCAGAAATGTTAATCTTTGCTGGTTCTCCATGAGCATATTTTCGTTTTAAAGGTCCCAGAGTCGAGCCTGAACAATAACACAGCTTTTCTTGTACTTTTAGTTTTTATTTCTAACAATATTTCTGGTTCCTCTCGCACCAGCACTTATGTTGTTTAGCTGCTGAAAGGAACACTCACTGAATGCAGTCTGGATAGAAAAAATGCAGATGAAATTAATGATACATTTATTATATAAATTTTTTTTTTTTTGTCATACCAGGTCTGCATTCAGCAAAACATTCTTGTAAAGGCTTCCCTTTTGTACAGCACATATAAGTATTACTATCACAACATTGTTATTAACCTTTTTGTGTTTAACAAGTATTTGTGTTCATTTTAACATGTTCTTTAATTTGAAATGTGTTACAAAATGATATTGATGAATTCAGTCCCCTTTACTGCCCTCTGTTGGTGACTGTTTAATTACAAGATTAGAGATTTCATTATAATTAAAATTATATAAAATACTGCCAAACAAACTTAGATACTGACTGTATCTGGTTCCATTTGACCATACTCAGAAATAATTATTTTAAAACACTCCATTACTACCTCCATTTTCCAGGTGTTTCAGTCATACATATCGGAAATCATTCATCTGATACTGCATGTAATTACACACAAGTTATATGGATGTGTAAATTGTTATCATTTTCAAATCTTTAATTTCCATTACGTAAAAACTTGCCAGAACTTTGTTTCTCTTATGGAGATATGGAACGAAATAAAATCGGGGAGAGCTTATGTTTTATTTCATTTGATGGTGTTTTTTTCATGCTTTAAAACACTAACCAAGAACATTTCATTCAGGAGTGGTTTATTTAGAAATTACACATCATAATTTTGTGTTGTGGTTCCATGATATTAAGCTTCAGGATACCTTGAATGAGACCTGTGATTTTTATTGTTAAAAAATTCTTTCTTGAGAAATTTGTTCACAGCTTTAAATACCAAATTATGTAATAACAGATAAAGAGAATTTATTTCTTTTTAAGAGACGGAAGAATTCTGCCACAAGAAACGGTTGTTGATATTACAAATGAGATTGAATTATGCTTTTTGGTCATTATGGAAATAAGCCTTATTTTTAAAGCATGGTGGACCAAATGAACTGCTGGTGAAATTGTGTACAATTTTTATGGTGGTCAGAGCTTGTCCATGGGAGACCCCTGTCATCAGTAATTGTTGACATTAGGATTCGTATCGGAAGTGCATAATAATGTTTTATTAAAGGCATCTTTAGTGATGACAAGTAAGATTGCATTGGATTAGTTCCATTTACTTTGTAGTGCCTGCTTGTAAAGCATGGATGTGGGATATGTACGCTTCATCATGTTTCGGTACTGTTTACCAATGTTTAAGGTAGATACGTTTTTGGTGATATACATGTGTTACATGTATGTGATAAGCATTATTTTTTCAAAATAAAATTTCTTTTAAAATATTTGTTGTTTGAATATCACTGCAGTACAATATACTGTAGGACAGTTCTAATTTTATCATTAAATACCTTTCTCTCTCCATGTTTCCTATCAATTGTCAAATGCAAATATATATATATTTGAAAAGAATAAAATCAACACAGCAAATGTATTCCGATGACGTTTTCAGGCCTAAATGCCATCTTCAGGTGATACATTTATTATAACGTCTTGGTAAAGACATTGTCACGTCATACATAATACATAAGATATATATATTTATATATATATATACAAACAACATTTTCCATTCAAAGTCTCCACTAGAAATATATGCTTTAACATATTCTACCTACAGTTACAATAATAACAAAAAGACATTGTCTTCAAAATCCCCTTGGTACCACACTACATTGCAATGCTGTAGTGGTTTACAAATGCATCAAGCAATATCACAGCAGCGCTGTAGAACAACATTACCTGAATAACATCAGGCAAGAATAAGCTCTGTAGCACATAAAGTTTCCCTCGTACAATGTATGAACTATGATATCTTTCTTAATTGAAGTTTAGTTAAATCACTGAAGTTTCCCACATACAAAGTATGAACAATGCTTTTCTCTGAACTGAAGTTTAGTTAAATTACTGAAGTTTCCCACATACAAAGTATGAACAATGCTTTCTTCTGAACTGAAGTTTCCCACATACAAAGTATGAACAATGCTTTCTTCTGAACTGAAGTTTAGTTAAGTCACTGAAGTTTCGACATACAAAGTAAAAAATGCTTTCCTTCTGAATTGAAGTTTAGTTAAATCACTGAAGTTTCCCACATACAAAGTATGAACAATGCTTTCCTTCTGAACTAAATTTTAGTTAAGTCACTGATATGTGAGAAATAGGTCATGGAGGTGGCTGAACACAGACCATAATGTTTATTATATTGAAGAAAAAAACTTAAAACAAAAGAAAGTGTACAGTTATATGGTGTTGAGAAATGGTTCTATCCTTGAAATTATTTTCTAGGTATAAACCACGGAAAAATTGCCCACAGATATTTCCTGTTATACAGTATGCCACCTACTTCCTTGTGTGGGGACTAAAAACTCTAATCTAAGACATTGGTATGTTTTTATCTCACCTGCTGTATGGGAACTTATCTTATGCGGTGGTGTGGTATCTGTTATCAATTTCTCCCTGAAAATGACTTTCAATAAATGAGAGGCTTACAGTCCAAATATTTTTGCCAAAATTCTGGCATTAATGAAATTGACTTAAAAATCACAGCTAGGTTTGAAAAGTGATTTTTTTTAAAAACTTCTCAATACCAAAAACAAATAATGAAATAAAAAGTTATTACAAAAATTATAATATTCAATCAATAGTAGGTTAAAATCAATGTCTTGGTCCACTTTTTTAGTTCATTGGGACAAAATATTTTGAATGACCAAAATGCTCAGGGATATGGTATTTGTCCAGTAGCTATGTTGGAAAAGAAAGGTATCAATAGTTACTTACCTGTTTCAACAATGTCTCCTTTCTATAGGCCTGTTGAGTTCGCTGTTAGTACATAAAATTTGGTTTCACTAAAATAAGTATGTTTACAGTACATGGTTAAAAACATGAAACAGACACTTGAAAGTGACATCAGCTCAGAAAAACAACACTATAAACACCTTTCATGGTAAATGATATCTCCGTCTATGAAGAGTTATCCAGGATATCTGGGACCTGGAGGAATGAGATATTTAAGATTTACTATGCTTTTGTACATTCTGTCCATGAGAAGTTTAACTCTAGCATACCATAACAATTTGAAGATGTTGAAATTATAACCAATTTAACCTTTGACCCTGAGGAGTATGGAATAAATTGTCCATTATTTTGGTTCACCTTTGACCATCTATAGAAGATTCCCAGCAATATATAAACTTTATCAAAATTAGATTTTGGCCTTATGAGAAGAAGTTTAAAATGACCATTGTTTACCAACAAATGATGCATGACAAAGACACATAACAATGGACCAATAGGCGATTAAAACAGCTAGTCACACGAGAGTTGATCTCAAAATTCTTTGTGATCATGACATTGCACCCGGACAGAAAGCCATCATCGGGATAATCATTGGATTTTGTGATGGTGATATACAGATCAATGTTGTAAAAAGTATTTTTGAAAAAAAATCACATTTGTAAAGAGACCAGCTATTCCAAGAGGCATATGGGGCCTGTGTTACCAGCCTGATGTACATACCAGGTACCACCAGTATAACAGAAGTTTGTAAGTATACTCTAACTGTAGTGATCATTACCAGTTTTTATTGATTTATGGTATAGAAATTTAACAAAACTAAGGGCACTGAAAGGGAGTTTTGGTATTGAAGTTGTATTCAAATTCAATCATATGTCACAGTGACCCATTACTTATGTCAATCATGAGATTATACCCATTATACAGTGGAAGTCAACACAAAGTCAATCTGGATATCTGGGGGTTTAGTGGGAGTAAACATTATACCAACCTGGACAGCTGGATGTTTAATGGGTGTCGATATAATGTCAGTCTGGATATCTGGAGGTTTAGTGGGAGTTAACATGATACCAACCTGGACAGCTGGATGTTTAATGGGTGTCGATATAATGTCAGTCTGGATATCTAGAGGTTTAGTGGGAGTTAACATGATACCAACCTGGACAGCTGGATGTTTAATGGGTGTCAATATAATGTCAGTCTGGATATCTGGAGGTTTAGTTGGAGTTAACATGATACCAACCTGGACAGCTGGATGTTTAATGGGGCGTCAATATACTGTCAGTCTGGATATCTGGAGGTTTAGTTGGAGTTAACATGATACCAACCTGGACAGCTGGATGTTTAACGGGCGGTAATATAATGTCAGTCTGGATATCTGGAGGTTTAGTGGGAGTTAACATGATACCAACCTGGACAGCTGGATGTTTAACAGGTGGTAATATATAATGTCAGTCTGGATATCTGGAGGTTTAGTGGGAGTTAACATGATACCAACCTGGACAGCTGGATGTTTAATGGGCGTCGATATAATGTCAGTCTGGATATCTAGAGGTTTAGTGGGAGTTAACATGATACCAACCTGGACAGCTGGATGTTTAATGGGCGGTAATATAATGTCAGTCTGGATATCTACAGGTTTAGTGGGAGTTAACATGATACCAACCTGGACAGCTGGATGTTTAACGGGTGGTAATATAATGTCAGTCTGGATATCTGGAGGTTTAGTGGGAGTTAACATGATACCAACCTGGACAGCTGGATGTTTAATGGGGCGTCAATATACTGTCAGTCTGGATATCTGGAGGTTTAGTTGGAGTTAACATGATACCAACCTGGACAGCTGGATGTTTAATGGGCAGTAATATAATGTCAGTCTGGATATCTGGAGGTTTAGTGGGAGTTAACATGATACCAACCTTGACAGCTGGATGTTTAATGGGCGGTAATATAATGTCAGTCTGGATATCTGGAGGTTTAGTGGGAGTTAACATGATACCAACCTGGACAGCTGGATGTTTAATGGGTGTCAATATAATGTCAGTCTGGATATCTAGAGGTTTAGTGGGAGTTAACATGATACCAACCTGGACAGCTGGATGTTTAATGGGCATCAATATACTGTCAGTCTGGATATCTGGAGGTTTAGTTGGAGTTAACATGATACCAACCTGGACAGCTGGATGTTTAACGGGCGGTAATATAATGTCAGTCTGGATATCTGGAGGTTTAGTGGGAGTTAACATGATACCAACCTGAACAGCTGGATGTTTAACAGGTGGTAATATATAATGTCAGTCTGGATATCTGGAGGTTTAGTGGGAGTTAACATGATACCAACCTGGACAGCTGGATGTTTAATGGGCGTCGATATAATGTCAGTCTGGATATCTGGAGGTTTAGTGGGAGTTAACATGATACCAATGAACAACTCTTAATGTGTGGGGTAAGGACAGTCGGGTGTGGGGTTGTGTTGACAAGGTAATGACAGCGAGTGTGGGGTTGCGTTGAGAAGGTAAGGACAGTGGGGTGTTGGGTTGTGTTGAGAAGGTAAGGACAGTGGGGTGTGGGGTTGTGTTGAGAAGGTAAGGACAGTGGGGTGTGGGGTTGTGTTGAGAAGGTATGGAGTCAGGTGTGAGGTTGTGTGGAGAAGGTAATGACAGTGGGGTGTGAGGTTGTGTTGAGAAGGTAAGGACAGTGGGGTGTGGGTTTGTGTTGAGAAGGTAAGGACAGTGGGGTGTGGGGTTGTGTTGAGAAGGTAAGGACAGTGGGGTTGTGTTGAGAAGGAAAGGACAGTGGGGTGTGGGGTTGTGTTGAGAAGGTAAGGAGAGTGGGTTGTGGGGTTGTGTTGAGAAGGTAAGGACAGTGGGGTGTGGGGTTGTGTTGAGAAGGTAAGGACAGTGGGGTGTGGGGTTGTGTTGAGAAGGTAATGACAGTGGGGTGTGGGGTTGTGTTGAGAAGGTAATGACAGTGGGGTGTGGGGTTGTGTTGAGAAGGTAATGACAGTGGGGTGTGGGGTTGTGTTGAGAAGGTAAGGACAGTGGGGTGTGGGGTTGTGTTGAGAAGGTAAGGACAGTGGGGTGTGGGGTTGTGTTGAGAAGGTAATGACAGTGGGGTGTGGGGTTGTGTTGAGAAGGTAATGACAGTGGGGTGTGGGTTTGTGTTGAGAAGGTAAGGACAGTGGGGTGTGGGGTTGTGTTGAGTAGGTAAGGACAGTGGGGTGTGGGTTTGTGTTGAGAAGGTAATGACAGTGGGGTGTGGGGTTGTGTTGAGAAGGTAAGGACAGTGGGGTTTGGGGTTGTGTTGAGAAGGTAAGGACAGAAAAATTGATCGTTTTACAAGCAAATTGGTCATTAAGATTTGTTACAGGCAAATCATTTGTTACAATGTTTGTTTTAAGACTTACAATCTGTTTATGTGTTGAAGGACTTGTACTTCATGGATTCAGAGAACTTGTGTATCATGTTTGCATCCATCACTAACTTTTCCGAGTTCTACATGGAGTTGGAGGAAAACAATGAGGTTGTAGAGTGTCTGCGTCTCCTCAATGAAATCATCGCTGACTTTGACAACGTTTACAATTGAAATTCACATATTGTTAAGAAAGTGTGCTAAAAATAACAATGTGTGTGTGCCTTTGCCTTTTATAGGGAAACGGGGGAGGCCTGTTCCTTTCCAAATAGATATGTTAATATTCTTGAAAATCTATGAATACATTTTGTTAGGTCATCTGACGATGTGTTTTGTCCATCTTTGTGCACCATCTACCATGTGCCATCTGCTGTTCATAATGTTTTAACATTATAAACTTATTCTCAGATTTCACCTGTGGGGTTGAACTGAAACTTGACTGAAATATGATCCAGACGAAATGTTGGTGACAAAGTGTTATTATTTCTTTGCCTTCTCAAAAGTTCAATATGGCTACCATGGCAGCTGTATTGTAACATAATTGCACAATCATGTATTCCCGGAACACCTATTTTAAACTTTTTTTTTTCAAATTCTACCAGTGCCATTGAGCTGAAAGTTGGTGGGAATGTTAAGGAAGAAAAGCTGAAAAAGATTTCGACCTTGTCAGAAGTCCAATATTGCAGCCATGGGGCCTCTTGTTAAGGTTTACTTCATACCATCATACCAACAGGTTCAACACCGTATTTTATTTAGGTGGTGATCAGTCAAGGGTAACGGGTCAAAGGTCAAATTTGACATCTCCTGCCAGTTCATTAAAATGTGATACATATATGCATGGGAGCAAGGGCAATCATATCAAAGAGACATTTTCTAAATTCAGCAAACCTATAAATCTATATTTCCTGTGTGATAGGTGACTGAGATTGTTGACCATACATTTAGTCTTATGGTTACATTTCCCAGGTACTTGGTGACGAGAAATTTGGGTGTATGGAGAAGATCAAGACCACTGGATCAACGTATATGGCTGCATCTGGACTCACGCCACAGACTAACTTCTCGGATATGTGCATTCGCTATTCAGGCACAACTGCACTTTGTCAATGAGCATTCCTTCAACAACTTCAAAATCAGAATCAGTCAGTGTTTTTACCAAAAAAAAAAAAAAAAAAAAGATTAAATTTATTTTATTTTTCAAAGCATTTTAAACATACAGATAAACAACCTTGCACACCTCACACGCCAAAGCAATTGTACACCTCATGCATCTTATTGTACAGTCTTCATCATCATAATCATCATCCTCATCATCATCCCATATACAAACATCATCATCATTCCTTATACAATCATTATCATGTCATGTACAATCATCATCATCATGTCATGTACAATCATCATCATGTCATGTCTTGTACAATCATCATCATCATCATGTCATGTACAATCATCATCATCATCGTGTCATGTACAATCATCATCATGTCATGTACAATCATTATCATGTCATGTACAATCATCATCATCATGTCATGTACAATCATCTTTATCATGTCATGTACAATCATCATCATCATCATCATGTCATGTACAATCATCATCATCATGTCATGTACAATCATCATCATCATCGTGTCATGTACAATCATCATCATGTCATGTACAATCATCATCATCATCATGTCATGTACAATCATTATCATGTCATGTACAATCATCATCATCATGTCATGTACAATCATCATCATGTCATGTACAATCATCATCATCCCATGTACAATCATCATCATGTCATGTACAATCATCATTATCATGTCATGTACAATCATCATTATCATGTCATGTACAATCATCATCATCATGTCACGTACAATCATCATCATGTCACGTACAATCATGTCATGTCATGTACAATCATCATTATCATGTAATGTACAATCATCATCATCATCATGTCATGTACAATCATTATCATGTCATGTACAATCATTATCATGTCATGTACAATCATCATCATCATGTCATGTACAATCATCATCATCATGTCATGTACAATCATTATCATCATGTCATGTACAATCATTATCATGTCATGTACAATCATTATCATCATGTCATGTACAATCATTATCATCATGTCATGTACAATCATTATCATGTCATGTACAATCATTATCATGTCATGTACAATCATTATCATGTCATGTACAATCATCATCATCATGTCATGTACAATCATTATCATCATGTCATGTACAATCATTATCATGTCATGTACAATCATTATCATGTCATGTACAATCATTATCATGTCATGTACAATCATTATCATGTCATGTACAATCATAATCATCATGTCATGTACAATCATTATCATCATGTCATGTACAATCATTATCATCATGTCATGTACAATCATTATCATCATGTCATGTACAATCATTATCATGTCATGTACAATCATTATCATGTCATGTACAATCATCATCATCATGTCATGTACAATCATTATCATCATGTCATGTACAATCATTATCATGTCATGTACAATCATTATCATGTCATGTACAATCATTATCATGTCATGTACAATCATCATCATCATCATGTCATGTACAATCATTATCATGTCATGTACAATCATTATCATGTCATGTACAATCATTATCATGTCATGTACAATCATTATCATGTCATGTACAATCATTATCATGTCATGTACAATCATTATCATGTCATGTACAATCATTATCATGTCATGTACAATCATTATCATGTCATGTACAATCATCATCATCATCATGTCATGTACAATCATTATCATGTCATGTACAATCATCATCATCATGTCATGTACAATCATCATCATCATGTCATGTACAATCATTATCATCATGTCATGTACAATCATTATCATGTCATGTACAATCATTATCATGTCATGTACAATCATTATCATGTCATGTACAATCATCATTATCATGTCATGTACAATCATCATTATCATGTCATGTACAATCATCATCATCATGTCATGTACAATCATCATCATCATCATCATGTCATGTACAATCATCATCATCATGTCATGTACAATCATCATGTCATGTACAATCATCATCATCATGTCATGTACAATCATCATCATCATGTCATGTACAATCATCTTTATCATGTCATGTACAATCATCATCATCATCATGTCATGTACAATCATCATCATCATGTCATGTACAATCATCATGTCATGTACAATCATCATCATCATGTCACGTACAATCATGTCATATACAAATTGTTTTGTTGTATTGTTGTTTTGCGGCAATCACCGACACTTCCTCCCTTACTCCTTGAATTTGGTTGACAATCTGTGATTGCATGTTGTTTACCACTTCATCGCATAGTTAAGTGATGGATAACATGTTTACAATGTCGGTGTCTGTTGTGCAGGCAGTTTTTTCTTTCGCCAAGTCTACTGCATGGCGAAGGTCCAAGAATGTCTTGAGCTCTTTCCGCAACACCTTTGACCTTAGTTTGGGTTGAAGTCCATTTATTGCCACTTGGACTTTATATGTTTCCACAATAGTATGCCCAAGGGCCAATTTCTCTGCTCGTTCAAGGTATTTCTCAGCTGTTTCATCTGAACCTTGCTTCAGGAAAAGAACTTGCTGTCTGTTGACTTTTGTTTGAACCTTTTTAGAAAGGCTTCTTTGAATTGCCCGAAATCGTTCCTTTCAGGATCTGTGAGTCCTTGCAGCCACAGTGCTGCTGGGCCCTCCATGTTGAAGGACATAGCTGCTAAAGTTCTGTCGTCCGGCACATTATGGAACTT